CCCTCTAAACTAATTTTTTTTTTTTTTTTATTATTTTTTTTTAATATATTTTTCTTTTCGACTCGAACCACACTTTCTCTACAATGAAATATCGAAATGACAAAGCGACAAAAAAAAAAAAATAAATTTGGTCAAATTCATTTCTAAGAGAGATCTGTCGTTGGTATCCAAAAATTTGTTATGGTTTTTCTTCTTTTTTCTTTGTCGTTTTTGTGTTCTTTCTGAGATCTCTCTCTCTCTCTCTCTCTCTCTCTCTATCTCTTGACAAAACAAAAATCTATTTCGTTTCGTTTTATTTTTTTCTTTCAAATAAATCAACCAGAAGAAAAATACGAAAATTAAAAAAAAAAATAAGAAAGAAAAAAGATTTCTTTTTGTAATGACAAAATATAATTATATTTTCGTCGACACAATTATATTATTGGCTAATAAATTCAATAAAAAAAATTTTTTAAAATTAAACAATAGAAATTAAAAAATAAAAATAAAACATATTTTCTAACGACTACAAATAATAATAATAATAGTAATATTAATAGTATTGAAATTAATAATAATAATAATAATAATAATAATATTAATAATAATAGGCAAGGTTGCACGTAATTAAAAAAAAAAAAGAAAAGAAAATTGCAAACAATTTTCAAACTTACATCCTTTCTCTCTTTCTCTCTCTTCATTTTTAATGCCACGTGTTCGAGGTTTACGCATTAGTCCAATCTGATGTGCATTTTTAATGGCACTCTCTGCTCTCGGGTTTTATCCGTTCAAGTATTTTGCATTTTTATATTTCTTTTTCATTCATTCATTTTCCTTTTATTTTTGTCCTATTTCCCTTTTGTTGTTTCCTTTCGCGTTAAACGTGCCTCATGAATAAAAAGAAAGAGAGAGAAAGAGAAAAAAAGAGGACGCAAACGAGAGAGAGAGAGAGAGAAAGAGAAAGAAAGAGTAAAAATTTAAAAACCAGAAAAAAGAAAAAGAAAGAGTGGAACATGATGTTGATAAAAAAAAGAGAGAAAGAAAGGGAGAGAGAGAGAGAGAGAAAGAAAGAGAGGGAGAGTGATACAAAAACGCGGAGTGAATGGATGAGAGAGTGTGAGGTTGACATGTGCGCATGTATATACGTGAAAGTATGTAAGAGGAGAAAGAATGTGTTGAACGTTGAGTACTTGGACGAACGAGGAAGAGAAGAGAAGAGTAGAGACGAGAAGAGAAGCAGCTCTTGGTGTGATCCAGCTAGCTAGCTAGCTAGCTAGCGAGCGAACGAACGAACGAACGAACGAGCGAATGAGTAAGTGAGTAGGAGTTAAAGAGGATCGTCGAAACGACCGTGGTACATGTGTTTTCTCAGTGTTTTCCGTATGTAAGTATGCATTTATGTATATGTTATTTTTTTGTTGTTGGTTGTTTTATATATATATATATATATTATGTATATATATATATATATATATATATATATATATTATGTGCCGATGGGTTTTCTTTATGACCCTGATCTACGGCCCTGGCGATTTTTTTTCTTTTTCTTCATCATTTTTTTAATAATTTTCTTTTTTCTTTTCCATTTTTTTCTTTTTTTTCTTTTCTTATTATTTTTCTTTAAAAACGCCTAGCCGCGATCAGCGTTAAATTAGAACCGAGAGCACTGACGCTGCTGCTGCTGCCGCCGCCGCTATTGTTACTTTTATTGTTGCTGTTGTTGTTACTGTTATTGTTACTGCTGTTGCTGCTACTGCAGCTGCTGCTGTTGGCATTTCCTTTGTTGCCACCGCCGCCGCCGCTGCTGCTGCTGCTACTGCTCGTCGTTGTCATCATCATCGTCGTCGTAACGCGTTGGTCTATGCTGGTGGGTCACTTCTTACTCTTCTTAGTGGGCGGCTCCTGAACGTCTTGCGAGTCCTCGGTGTCCTCGCTATCCGTTAACCGTGGTGTATTATTGCTATCATCATTCTCATTCGTCGCGAGAGAATCATTCGTGTCCTCGCTCGGCACGGCTACGGTTATGGGAGTGGCAGGCTTATCCATTGAATCCTCGGTGAAGGACGTGGTCGTGCTGTTCTCATCGATGGCCGCTGGGTCGATGCTGCCAGGCTCTTTACCGTTCGCAACTACTACAACGGCACCCTCTTGATTGCTGTCGTCCGATGGTTCAGTCGCTTCACCGTTGCTGGACGGATGCGAATTACCGTTTTCCGTCGAACCCGGTATACCCTCCAACAATTCTGGTTTTAATTCGGACGCCACGTAATGGGTCCACAGTGCCATCTCCACCCTGTGCGGGCTCCATGATTTACCATTTGACGCTGAAATTCACACAATCATTTTTGCACCTACTTATGTGTACGTTCTTATTATTTCTTTTTTTTTTTTTTTTTTTTTTTTTCTATTTATTTGTTCTTTCTCCCTTCCCTTTTTTTTTAACAAGCCCCACATCGAATTTTTGCGATTGTAGGGAATATATATATATATATACTTACTCTGTTTGTTCAACCTGTCTACAGTGGTCTGAATGTGCTGAACAAATTTAAGATATTCCTTGGTAGTGTAATCTATTCCCTCGATCTCAGGTATCGCCATAAGACACTCGTCCGCCATGAATGGCGCACATTCTGGTGATGCGGCAGCAAGTAACGCCGATGCCATCGTAGTACCAACACCTTTTAAATTTGACAATGCGGTGATGGCCTGTTCCAAATTCGGAAGTTTTTTGAATGCCTTCCTTGTCTCCGCCATTACGGCACGTGGTGTGTTCACTTTGATCAGGTATGAAAGTTGTGGATAATACTTTCCGCGCTGGAGGGACATAGAAAAGAAAATAAAGAAAGAAGAAAAATAAAATAAAACGATGAGAAATAAAGTTGGTTTTTTGTCTTGTTTTATGAAGATTATTGTTGTGAGATTCACAAATATATAAGTGTGATCCGAAAAATATGGCGACGACACCACCGATGAATTGACTGACTGACTGACTGACTGATTGATTAATTGTTTGATTGATTTATTGATTGATTCACTCACTGCTTGTTTCCATTTCATTGCATGTACCAATTCCTCGTGATTGAGATGAGCATCTTTTCCACGTGATTTAATCCTCTTCGGTAGTTCATTTTGATACCTGGCGAAAGAGGAAAATAAATAAAAAATTAAGTATTGAGTTTACGATGATCCCTCACATAAAGAGATAAACAATAAAGTTAGCAAGTATCGGTATACTAAGAATATTCATGGCACACGTATAATATGTATGTATGTATATGTGTGTACGTGGAAAGAAGGGGTACGCGTAGAAATCAGAAATACGCGGAAGATGACGCAATTGTGTGGTCGAGTAGAATGCATGAAATCGTCGATTAGAAGTAACGCCGCGTAAAGTGGTTTCCTCGTATCCGGTTTGGGATCGAGGAAATGCGCGTGGAACAACTACGACGACACGACATGCACGTTTAAAAAGGACTATATATGACTAGTAACTATATATACTTACATACTATCTTACTTTTTATCCAAGTTGGTAATCAAGAATGGTTCTTGTTATCGGTTTAAAGTAGAAGGTTTTTTTCTGCATAATAACATTATTTGTTCTTTTTTTAAAACTTCAACCGAAGGATAAAAAAAAAAAAGAAGGAAAAAATATAAAGTAAAACAAAGTTTTTTTTTTCTTTTTTGTGACAAGTATTAGAGCAAAGTTATATATTTTTCTTTGTTTAATTTACATTGAAAAAGTATTTCAATCATTGTGTTCACTCTACCAAACTATTGGATTAATCAAGAATTTCAAATAAGTTTTTCAATATTAAAATATTTTATATTATAATATCGATAAAACTTGAATAATCTTACATTGAATTACATTCAAATCCGAAATAAGTAATCATTACGTTTTAGCAATCAAATAATCGTACGTGTCTAGAGAAAGAATGAAATTTCACGAACAAAATTATGAAATTTGATAATATCTATATATTATACACACCCCGTATAAAGATTGGTAAAAATGAAATATAAGAATAAAAAAAAAAAATAGAAAGCGTGTGAAGGAGAGGAGGACTCTTGGTAAAGTTTTATGCTCTTTAACCATCTCTGCAAAGAGACCGAGAAGTAACTCGCTCGGTAGAGACTACTCACAATGCGAACTGATAATATTAACTTCATAGTATCTGACAGGAAAATACGATGAACAAAGAAAGTAGGTATACCAACAACAGCTTAAGAAAACTCTATAGTAATATTAGTTGTGTAGTTGTAATTGTGGTGTGTGTAATAATAATAGTATAGTAATTTTATAATAGTAGTAGTATAGTGTGATGTAGTAATGGTAATGCAGTAATTATAATAGTAGTAGTGTAGTAGCAGTGATGCATTAATTGTAATAGTAGTACAATAATTGTAACAGTAGTGGTGGTGTAGTAATGATATAATAATAGTTGAGTAATACAATAATTATAATAGTAGTAGTAGTAGTAGTAGTAGTGTAATAAACATAATATAATGATAACGATAAATAATAATATGAGTCAAAAGTTGATAGATGATATAAAGAATAAATTAAAATTGCACGAGAGTTCCCCTAATTGCACAAAAGCTTACTTGTCTTAAAAAAAAAAAAAAAAAAAAAAAGAGTGATTGATTTTTAAAAACGGATAGAAACTTTTGGTCTACCCTTGCGTAGCATTAACGGAGACAAAAGGAAGAGAAACCAACGAGCCATAACGTTCGTTATATTGTCGTTCTAAGTTAACTTTCGAGGGGAACAAAGAAGATGAGATATTAGGTAAGAGGGATGAGAATTTGTTCAATTTTCTAACAACAAACGTTAGTTCGTTGTCGATGATTGTAAAAACGAAAAGATAAAAAACAAAAAAAGAAAAAAGAACGATTCTAACCAAAAAAAAAAAAAAAGAAAAAAAAAAGGAAAACCAAAATGAAGAAAACTTTATGAAAAAGAAAAAAAAAAAAAGATAGTATTAAAAGGGCCGAAAAGGGTCAGATATAAATTCTAGGATAGAGGACTTGAAAGTAAAAAAAAAAGAAAAAAAAGAAGAAAAAGAATAAAGTAGTTTCTTTCGAATCGTTTTTCCTTTCACGAGGCCAGTGAGCAAGCAAGCAAGCAAGAACGGAATGCCTTTTCAAGATAGAGCAACCGAGACTCCATTTTGAGAGGCGCGTTCACGGCTTACACAGAAAGCGAGAGAAAGAGAGAAAGAAAGAAAGAGAGAAAGAAAGAAAGAAAGAAAGAAGGAAAGAAAGAATAATTCCCTACAAAAACAACCTTGACACAATCGGCACACTAACGCTTCAAAACGAGGATTATGTCCCACGCTTCTCTCTGCGATATAGTGATTCAACCTGATCTAACACCAATACTACAGTACACTGTATACTGTAGTTTGAAAATTTATCATATATAGATATGTTTATAATATTATTAAATATTTCTTTTTTTTTTTTTTAGAACATTTATTATAAGTAATACAGTAATATGTTTTGCTATATTGTATAAGGTTGCTGCATAATTTTTTGGATGGGCATAAAATTCCTAAGTCATTTTAAACAACATACTTATATATTTTGCTATTATTATTATTATTATTATTATTTTTAAAATTATTTTATTATAATAAATGTATAATAAAGTTTAAAATTTTGTTTAAATGATATTGAACTTTTCTATTTTCTGAGCATAGGATTAAAGTATGTAAAACGCGTAATAAAAAACACGATATGACTAGATTGGACAAGTGCGGATTGTACTAATAAAACAGTAAAATGTGGAAACCGATCAACATTGAAAGATGACTACCATTCTGTTATTACGTAAGAAATATTGATATTATTGCTTTAACTTGTAAAGACACTGCAAGGGCACAGGAAGGGAATATATGTTCAAGGATCAAGTTCGATCATTTCTCAATAATTCTTTGCTAATCTATCAAATTTGTTTTTATTGTTTTTAAATTTAACACAAAAATTTGTTATAAAAGCAAAAATACTCTAAAAGACGATACGAAACGAGGTTGAAAATAGTTGTTGGTTAATCGCGATTGGCACTCAGCAGAGGAATTGACGGATGGTCGTTAGAAAGAGACAGACTGACAGATGGATGGATGGATGGATAGAAAGAAAAAGAGAGAGAGAGAGAGAGAGAAACGTCGATATTCAATTACAGGCCATTTGACCCAAATATTTTGATCGGTTTAACGAACTCGGAAATCGACAAAAAACTAGTGGACAGGATCGGTTCTGTTTGCCGGTGTTGCCGCCATCTTGCGAAACTTTTTTTGGGGGAAGGGAGAAGGAAGAGAGAGAATATAAAAATTATACGATATTTTATTCTATTATGCATCGAGTAATTCTAAAATTATTGCAAACAAATTGAAAAAAAGAAAGAAAAAAAAATACATATTTGCATACGAATCAAATTCCTCGCTCAAGTTAACTCTACATTTATTCTGTTAAATAAATTAAATATACAGCAGAACACAATTTATACGAGCAAAAGAGAAAATTGAAAAAAAAAAGTGAAAAAATTGCAATGAAAGTATTCGAATTACGTGCCCATTCGAAATGTAACAATACAGTCGACTAAAAAAAACTGGATGGTGTATTATAAACGTCCGAATAGAAGAACGGAACAACAAATCGTTCGTGCGTTAGCATATATATTTGAAAACGTTCGTATAAATGAACGAAATAATAAATCACAAAAGTTCGTGAAAATTGACTGGCAATAAAATAGAACAAATTGAAAATGAACACAATGTGCGCCCCCCATTGGATCAATAATTATTTTCTTTTTTCTTCAGACTGAATTTAAAGAAACACAAGAAATCGAGCTATTCAAAAATGGCGGTGACGTCGATGGTGGTGCGGTAGTGTTTATCATACAATAAGGGAGGGGATAAGCACCGCCATTTTTCTAAGATGAGTAAAAATGATTAATTTTTGTAATAAATTTATTTTATTACTGTGCAATATAATATTTACTATAATAAAACTGTTGGTTAATAACATTTATTATATTACAACATTACCAGTGCTGTAATAAAACAAAATTATTATTATAACTGTTCAACAAAATTTCGCGGTAAATTTAATTATATATTATATTCCACAAATTGAGAGAAAAAATAATATGTAAATGTATATTGGTATCCTTGAAGAGATTAATTTATTTTTGAGTATCGTCGTCTCGTCACTACTTTTCGTGCTGACGACGACAACGCTCATTAGGATATCCGTTCGGCTCTCAGCAGCCATTTTTCTCGCATGTAACACGTTTAAAGCCAGTATATCTCTTTATCAACATCGTTTGATTCATGTTCGTGGTAATGTATATATATATATGAATGTGTGTATACGCACATATATAAACTCAATGTGATAACTCTTGCAACTAGTTACTTTAAGACTAGCAAACTACTACTAACAGTAACAACAGTGGAACGATAACTAAAGAATAAGACAAGAAGAAGACTGGTACAAGGTGGGCCGAAAGTTCTAAGGTGATTTTAAAAATTAATTACCCTTCTTTCTTCGAGACTCGGTTATAAGCTAGTACCATTAAATTATAAAAGATTTCTTATGCTTGTAGCTTTACAATCTTAACAAAAATTAGCCTAAATTGCCTTAAAAAAGACTCATTAATTTTCAAAACCTAGCAACAACTTTCGAGTCATCCTACATTTGTTGTCGAAAAGTAGAAAGTTCAAATCTAACGGTAAGAATTCTTTCTAATGTCGAAAGAAATCAAGCAAAGGGGGGAAAAAAAATAGAAGTTTCAAAATAAAAGGAAAAATAAAATTTGTGTACTCGGTTGATAAGAAGCAAATCGCTGTTATCGACAAAGGTAATTACCCATTAAACATTCAAATTAGAAAAGCAATTATAGAGTCACGTTAACTAGTTATATCGTTATATCCTTGTATTAATTATTCACATTAATAATATAAAAAGGGAAAATTATTTTTTAAAATGTCTGAAAAATATCAATGAACACTGACATTAGAGTTCATTAAATTATCGTTGAATGCACTTAACGACTTGGTGTAACTTTGTTTTTTTGTTTTAGTTTATCGCTGTACGTGTAACGGGCTCTCAGTTGATGTTCGCTTTCGTTTAATTCTTTTACATCAGCTGATACAGTGTAAAAACTGTTTAGGCACGTGTATGTCTGCTGTGTCTGTAATGATATAAACGAAGTCACATTTTTCATATTTTTTTCTTCGAATTTTTTTTTATTTCCATATTTAATCAAGTTTAATTTTATAACAGGAAGCATCGTTCGGAAGTAAAAGCGATTCGATTATCGTCATTAACGTTATTGGCATCGTCGTTAGGTTCTAACCAAACGTTGATCGTTCGTTCCAAAGAGGGAGAAAAGGAGAGGAAAGGGTAAGGAAGTAAAAAAAAAAAATGTATGGAGAGAGCGTTAATGCAGAATTTAACGAAGGCTCCACAACCTGCTTTTAATTAATTAAAGCAGACGTGACGACGCCACTGGAATTGAAGCTCGAGTTCTCGTGAAGCACACAACGGACAACTACGACGATGCGTACACGCGACGTGTCCTCATCACGAATATTCGTGATGTCAACGATGATTCTAATTTCCATTTGGGTTGCTAACATATATTTCATATTTTTATCTTTTTAAAGGTCGCAAACCGAAAGGAATTTCTTTTATTTTTTTTATAAAGAAGTCGCCAAACAAAAATGTAATTTTGTTGTTTTCGTTATCAAAAGATTATGAAAATAAATGCTCGATCGTTTTTTTTTTTTTGTAAAATCAACGTTAATCGGATTATCGGATTCGTTTATATTCATTATCATTCATGATTGATCGATTGTGAATTATTCAAAAGCGCGGGTAATTTAAATATCAATAGTCGAGTAGTTACGCGAAAATGATTGTTTTTGTAGAAAGGAGGAGAAACACGTGCGCTTACATTGATGGAGAAGAAGTAGAGTGTGGTAGTGGTCGTAGTGTGTAGTGTAGTAATAATAAGAGCAGGAGTGGGAGGTTAAGCTATTTCGATAGTGGAGGTGGAAGAAAAATGACGAAAGCTAAGCGCAAGAAAAATACAATTCTTTGAGCGAGATTTTAATAAAAAAGAAAAATACTTCGCGCATTGACAAAAAACGCGAATGGACGACTTTGCAATAGTAAAAACCGTAGAAAAGAGATCACGTGTTACTCGATAAGAAAAAAAGATTAAAATGTTTGCAACCATTTAAAAAAAAAAAAAAAAAGGTAAAAGCGACGCCATGAAATGCGAGTACGAGGCACATGGCACGTAGCCCACGAACCGAAACACGTCCATCACAAAACTTCACGTTTCAACAAAAATTTGATTGTATTAATTTAAAATAATTCACAGGAAGAAGAAAAAATGTAAAAATATTTTCTAAAAGTTTCCCCTTAAAAAAAAAAAAAACAAAAAAAAAAAAGAAGCAAATTCAATAAATTTTTAACTCGGTATACGAAAATGGAGACTGGTAAAAGAATACCGTTTATCGTTACTTGAAAAAACAAGAAATAAAAAGAAAAAATACGACCGTTTGCATGCACAAGCTACTGATTTGAGAGAAAACGAGGAACACCGGTACAAAGAAAAGACAAAAACAAAAGGAGACAAAAAAATAAAAATGCGTGGAAGCACAGACCACGAGTTTCGCGTTCTAAAGTATTCCCCCCACTCCTTGCTTTCTATCTATCCCCCCCTTTTTTTGACACAAAGAAAAATCAAAAGAAAAATATGAAAACTTGGATAGTAATTGCTTTAGTTTTAAACTAATTTTTAATTAATTGTCTTCATTGTGAAGAATTGTTAGTATTATACAGACACGTACGTGTACACATAAAAGATTTAATCAAGAATATAATACAGTGAAAGAATTAAAAGTTATTAAGAATAACGAATGAGAATATAGATAAAGAAAGATAGATATTAAGATGAAGAAAAGAGAAAGAGAGAGAGAAAGAGAAAGAGAAGAAAGAAGAAAGGTTCATTAATTGTAGCACAGGCTGCTGCTGCTGCTGCTGTTGGTTGTATAAGTGACGATGGTAGTAGTGTGTGTAGAAGTGGTAGTGGAATGGTGGTAGGGATATGTAGAGGGGGAGGAGCCGAGGTAGAGCGCGTTCGCGCGACGCCGTGAAAGCGACGGGTCGGTCGGGACTCTTTTGCGAAGGCCTTGTTGCCAGTTCTCTCTATCTCTCACGCAGTACGAACGATTCGTTCCAAAATCCACAATAATACAACAATGGAAATTCATTCGCGCTATGTGGTTGTCGCGCCAAATTTTTGTCAAAATATTTCTTTCTATTTTTTTAGCTGAATTTATTCTTCCCTAACACCCCCCACCCCTATCTTCTTTTTCATTTTCGTTTAATTTAATGTAATACATAAATTAGGTACACAACTGTTGAGATCTGTTCGTAACGAAAGTTAATGAAAAAAATTGTAAATGATACGGTATCGGAAAGAAAGAAATAGGAGAGAGAAGCAGCGCGTGTAACGCCCTTATGCTAGACGACGGAATAACGGCAACGTCGAGAGCCGAGCGTCGATGAGTCGGCACGAAAATTCCGACGCAGGGAGAATGGGGAACTACTCTGCCCGCTTACTTGTTTGCTAGCTGGTTGGTTGGTTCATTTGACGCGCGCGCGTTTTTTTAATTTTTGAAATAACGAGAAATCAACCGCACGACAACAAAATGTACAAATAAATATGAGATATATAGAATAGTTATTTTTTTTACGTGTAAAAAAGAAAATCGCTGGTCTTTTATAATGATAATAACAGAGAAGAGAATTGAATGTGGGAGTGAAATAGATAAATGAATGGATAGAGAAAAAGAGAAAGAAAGAGAGAGACATCGTCCATCGATCACGAAACGTTCGAAGAGACGAACGACGTCCGTTAGAAGAGCCACGTGACGTGCCTCTCTTTCTCCGGGTTGGTTGGACGAAGCGCGGTCACGGCTTTCGAACCGATCGCGCTATCTTCCTCCTCCTAACCACTCTTCGTTATTCCACCGCTCCCTTATTTTCTGCAACCAAAACCCTCTCGCTGTAAAGTCTCGAGTCGGATTATAGTCGTAAATACGCTATCTGGGATCAAGTAGCAGTAAGGAAGACAACGACAACGACAACGACAACGACGACGACGACGACAGCAGCAGCAACAACAGCAGCAGCAGCAGGAGCAGAAACAGCAGGCAGGCAGGCAGACGAGGGGGATCGTGGTGGCGGACACGCACAGTTCGGTACGCGCTGGCAACTGGCGCGCCACGAGTTCATTGTCCCGTGCGTGCCCGCCGATGAAGCCCCTCGACCAAAAGGAGGGCCGGTGTGTCGGCTCTGTAAACTTGAGGCACTCGAAGAAATAGAGAATGCTGTTCGTCGGGAATAGGGGGAAGAGAAGGAAAAAAGAAAAGAGGGTTAATAAGAAAAAATAAGAAAGAAAAAAGAAAGAGAGAGAAAAGTAGGGATACATAAGAGAGACAGAGACAGAGAAAGAAAGAAAGAGACAGACAGACAGAGATAGAAGAGTCGTGTCATGACGGGTCGTCTTTGCAATTAACTTACCAATTATCCAACTTGATCAGTTCTTCTGGTTTTTTCGTCTTTCGTTCGGCCTTAAGCCTGAGCGCCTGCGGATACAGTTTCAATACGTGCTCGAACTGATTTGCCGTGCCCCTTGTAAAGAAAGCTGATGAATCTTTCGCGGAAGCCATTGTGATAACTAAGCTTCGTAGAACGGCCGTTAGGGCGCAGCGACAGCGCCTCCGAGTAGCGCACCCGTCTCCGTCGCTTCACTTCCTTCACGCCACCAACTCTCTCTCACTCTCTCGCTCTCGCTCTCCCTCCCTCTTGCCCTCTTGCTCTCTTCGTTCGACCTTATCTTTGTCTCCTACTATCTCTCCCCTTCTTCGCACGTAACGTCGGTGTTTGTCACACACCGTAATACGTCTCTCTCACTCTGCTGCTTATTCGCTTCCAACTCCAGCGCTGTGTTTACCGTCCTTCTCGCTCTCACGTTTCTCGATACTGTATCTTTCTCTCTCCTTCTATCTTCTCTTTCTCTCTTTCGCGCTCGCACCTCCGTGCACACCACCCTCCTCCCACCGCGGGAGAGGACCACGCGAGAAATCCTATTTTACCCTCTGCCTCGTTCAAATTCTCTCGGTTTCACCGGCGGCGGTGATACGCGACACACGCGTGGGACGCGTTCGCAAAGAGAGACACGCGCGCGCGCACACACACTCTATCGACGAGAAAAAGAGAGGACGTTGACGACGACACCACCACGACAACTCTGCTACGACTGTTAAAACGACGATGACGACGAATAAAGCACGTCAGCCGAACTTAACTTCGTTCTGTTTCGTTTAATTTCGTTTCCGTAGCCTTTGTGATATATCCTCTTTTCTTTTCTCTCGTAGCAAGCTCTTCTATCCTTTTTATTAAATAAAAATTCTTCTCAATCTCTACTTTCCTTCTCTGCTAACACAATACCCCGTTGTATCTTTATTGCTTTCTATGTGTCCCTGCTTTTCGATCGGTTCTCTCGAATGCGCCTGTTCACAAAGCAAATAAGCGCACAACAACTCGATATCAAATACGTATTCAAATAGAATAATATATCTTTGTCTCTCTTCTGATGATAGTCGTTACCATTTAACTAGACTTTAAAATGAGTAGCAAAGTCAAGTCAAAGCCAGACGACGACGACGACGCGACGAGAGACAACTAACGACTACGAAGAGACGACGAGAACGACTAAACCGACACGAGGAGAGTGCACAGACACTGATGAGAGAGGAGGAACGCGCTAAGCTGATCAGGGTAGGTAGCGGAACGAAGTCTTGCGCGTACCCTAGTCAGGGAAAATCACCGTGGTTACAAACCAAGAGCTCGCCTTCGAACCTCGTTCGACTGTCCCGGGTGGGGAGTCGCGACTCGACGTCGCCAATAGGGAGCAGCACCGCTCGGCATGTTTCTCCCTCCTCCCACCGACTCTATCCTCCCTCTTTCCCTTTCTTTCCCCCMCCCCGACAACTCCAACACACCTCTCTCTCTCCTTCTCGCTTGCTCCAGCTGTCGTCGTGTCCTTCCACCACTCCTTCCTTCCACTACCCCTACCACTCCCTACTTTATCTCTCTCTCTCTTTCTCTCTTCCTCTTCCTCTGTTATTTTAACCGAAAATTTTCGTTACTACTAAACTACTACTAGTAGACTACGCACGAACGTCCATGTAACATCACCCTGAAGAGGATATAATTCTGACGATAATACTAAACTGATACTCGATATAACCTTCTCAACAATTCTATGAACGTGCGCAGCGCAACGCAGCGCAAGCCTTGACGTTGGGCGACCTCAGTGGCCAGATTATAACGTTCTCTTTTCTTTTACAAAACCTATTACTTTTATATTCAATTATCATTATCTAGATTTATTTCATATATTATATTCGAAGGAATTAGATTTTTTGTTGTATATATATTTTCCTCGAATTCCCTCGTGCATCCAATAGAAAAAGAGAGAGATAGACTATGTGTACGAAGAGCGCGTGCGAATCCCGGGCCGGATGTACGCGCGAAGTAACGTGTCGCCCTGATCCCCACTCTGGGGCTCCTCTTTCGTATTTCCCCCACCACTTTCTGTAGCTCGACTCTCCTCTTTTTATCTTTCTCTCTCTCTTTCTCTCTCTCTCTCTCTCTCTCTCTTTCTGGTTCTCGCTCCATACTGTGTACGCACGCTCGAGAGAAACCGAGCGGCGTACTTCGATCGGTCGCCGCGGGGGACTACTCAGCCGCGTTCACTCTTCTAGGGGTGCGGAGCAATGTGGTGGAGGTTTCCTCTTCGTCCTATTTACTCTCTCGACGAGATCATTCCATCGGTTGTGTACCCGCATCACCAGGACACTCCGTACCGACGCAACGTTGCTTTTTGCGTCAACAATTATTTCTTTCTTTCCCTCTCTCTCTCTCTCTCTCTCTCTTTTCTTTTTTATCTTTTCCTTATAAACGAAAACATTACAGCTGGCACATATATACCAATATACAGCTCTCTTTATATATACGTAATACGTATATATATGAATGTATATACCCCAGCACATATACGTGTATATCTACAGGAAGGACGACTCGCATACCACTCGTTTACTTGGCCTCCGATCTATGGCCGTATTTCAAAGCGAGCGACGAGAACGGATAACGAGAGTTAGAGAGAGAAAGAGACAGAGATATAGATAGAGGTCGAAGCCGCTGCCGAAGCTGCTTGCTGCTCGTTCGTTCGTTCGTTTCGAAAAACGGGAACGCGCCACAGCAGGCTACGCGCAGTGCCGATCGCTCGCTCGCTTGTTCTCTCCTTCGGTCGTTCCAACTTCGGTTATTTTCGGCCCTCTCCGGTCCCCCACTCTCGCACCACTCGCAAACTCTGGCATCGACGAGCCGACTCTCTCCCCGTATATCGTTCCACACTCCCTTCCAGCACGCCCCCTTTTCCTATCTGTCTGTTTCTATCTCTTTCTCTCTTTCTCTTTTTACTGGTGGATAAGGATACACAAACGACGGCGACGGCGACGGCGATGACGATGACAACGACGACGACGACGACCAAGACCAAGAAATCGCACCTTTATTTCGCTACGAAATGTATTTCTCTTATCGTAATACCCTTTTGATTCTGTTTTTCTAATTGTTTTTCAACCTTATTTGTCATCCGTTTTTCTTTCTTCTTTTTCTTCTTTTTTTTCTCCTCTTTTTCTACATTTCGTCGTTTATTTCCTTAGCTAGGCTAAAGCCGTTCAACGGCAATGCGCGTCAGCCGACTCTCGTCGATCCCATTGCCTTCGTCCAAGCCGAGATCGATATTAATGCCGGCGGGGCTAGAACGTACCGTCGTCGTCATAATAGACTTATACTCTCTCTATCTCTCTTTTTCTCTTTCTATCTATCTATCTATCTATCTATCTATCTGTATGTTCCAATAACACCAAACAACAACAATAACGATCATTCTCTTACATCTATCCTTATATACGTACTTTAATCATTTTAATAGATATTATATTTCCCTGTGACAGTAATACAAATAAAAATGATTACGTACTAGGCATGTAAATCCTAAAATTTGGTTTAAACATTTTATTGTTTTGTATTTTTATTTTCTTTTTTTTGGACGATTAGATTTTACAAATTTTCTTTTACATTACGCAAGTGTTAGTAGATGTTCTAAGCACGAGGGTTGATTCACGAAAGAGTTGCCGAAGTAAATTCTTGCATACATGCATAAAAAGTGCTTTGAGTTTACTTGCTTGTACGCACGCATGCGCGTCGGTAGTCACATGACTTAATCCCTGCAAATGGGGTCGCGGAATGATCGACCCTCTCTTGGTCGCATTCTACTCGGAGCGTTTTTCAAAAAGTTATCGCTCTTTCGAAACATCTCACGCAGATAGCGTAGTCTGATATAAACGGATGGCACGATTATTTCCAGACCGGATGTCAGGACCGTTGCGAAACGTGCGATTACTTACGGAATTTCTTATTAGTTAGTAAGACGCGTGATAGTATTCTCGCGGGATTTTCAAGCATCGAAATATCCGCCGACCCTTCTTAAAATTTCATTAATAAATTCTTCTTAAGATTAAAATTAATAGGTCCTTTTCGTTGGAAATGTTCTCGACTCTCATATGAAAGATGAAAATAAGTAAAATTATTAGAGTAATTTTTTTTAACGATTAATATATTTTGAAAATTCTCTATGCATATCTTTATTTTGCAATATTTATATTATATAAAATACATATTAAATAAATATATATTATAACTATAAGGTTTTCTCTGAAGCATTTGAAAGGATCAACTGAATCGATCGTTAGTAAGTCTGTCGCGCGAATAAATGTATTATACAATGTTTCGAAGGACATGGAGTGCATATCGTTTAAACGCATGCGCAAAAATGGGATGCGCGCTTGTCGGAGATTATAATTGGTCGTTCGCTCGCGTTTAACGTGAAAAAACAGAAGAGTGTCGTCGGTGGTGCGATACGTATAGTAGCAAGTATCGTCTCGTTTTGGTCTATAGTTCAGCTTATTGTTAGTATAGCTACTGATCTACTACATCTTTATTTTATTACTCACACTAGTATTGCTATTGTGTAACTGTAGTACATAGTTACTGGACTACTACACCTTTATATTACTACACTCTACTACTTTACATTTTTATCTACCATAGCGCACTAACATTATTACTCTTATAGCTACTATCACATAGTTACAGAACACAGTTTTATTTTACTACCACAACTTTACTACCATTACTGCTACTACATCGCTACTACTTTTGTGTTTGCTAACGTCGGCATACACCAACATATACATATATGTTCGCTACGTCAGCATACACTACTACCACAGCAGCATCGCTGTCGCCCATTACGGCTGCTCGATGCAGCCAAGAGCGAACAGGCAGGCCTGTACGTAGTATACTCGTGGAAAGTACCGAACGTGCTGCTGGCTGGCTTATTCCTCAGTAACTTTCCATCGTATCGAGCGTAAACGAAGAAAGTTTTACCAAAGCAATGCGACAAAAATAGGAAAAATTATAAGAGAAATATATAGATATTTTTTTTTATTACTTTTCTTTCTTTTCTTTTTTTATAATATATTAATTATTTTACTTTTTTTTTTTATTATCCGCCAGGCAGATATAACGTTCCAACGTGTAGATGTTATTTATTGAGTTACAAAGTAGAGAAACTATTTCGTAAGGAAATAGTTCAATTTATTGAAGGAACTGCCTGAAAAGAGAAAATTGGAATTCTGGGACCTTTAAAATTGTCTACAGTCCTTTTCAAAATCCTAGGCTTTGAACAGTATTAAGAACTGTCCCGGTATATCTACCTGAGAAATAACAGGAAAAGGTAAACGAATGGAAGATACTAAAGGATGAATTGTTAGGTTAGAAAGTTTTAAGCTCAATGGGTCTGACTGTATAGTATGCTTACAATCGTTCCTCTTGCTTGCTAAGTAGATGGCGCTAGATGCGCACGATAAATGGTGGGGATCTTAATGGCAGATGGCATTCATTTTCTTTGCTTTATTCCATCGCTTTCTAGGGATGAGGGTTATTTTTTTTTTTTAAATTATTTATTCAAGGAAACAAAAAGAATTGTACGATTGTTGTCAAAGCCATAAATCAAAGAACGACACTGTTCAATTCTATTTTAAAGACATTAAGCGTCCTTGCAAGAGTAGAATAGAAGAGGATTGTCAGGGAATACCCGATTTCGAAGTTTCGAAAAAAGAATTGTCTGCAGGAAAAGGAAAGGCCAAAGGAGGGCATGTAAAGGAAGAGAAGGTAAGGATAGGGGATAGGAAGAGGGGACGGGAACTTGGTTTTCCTCTCGAGCCGATACTGCTAGTGTTGCTGTTGCTGTTACTGCTGCTGATGCTTACCGAGCAGGCTGAACCGGGCAGACGGCCATAAGCCTCTCAATATGGCCGCCGAGACTCACCGTTATGCCGTAGAGAGCATCGTCGAACGGAGCCCTCGTGCCCCTTATACAAAAGAGAGAGGCCGGACCCCCTCTGTCCCTCGAGCGTTTGAAATTCAACCCCAACACACTGTTGGCCGCTCTGCTGCTGCTGCTTCTGCTCTTGCAGGGTTGCCAGATTGCCAGATTGTCAGGACACACAGTGGTATTGGCTTGAGCTGTTATATACATATAATATATATATGTATACATAATGTGTATATACGTTTATACATAGTATATATATTCCTATAATATGTACGTGTATATAAGCGTACACCAATAATAACCTAATCTCACGTACAACCGAAAAACGTCGGCTTGGACTGTGTGTTATCGGTCATGGTAAACCGCAGACTGCTGTGGTACTACTCTAAACCATGGAGAATCCATGGTTACGAGACATTACTTTATTTTTTCCCCAATTTTTTGTTAATTTAAGGGACTGATTCGTTGTCACGTTTCGACCGTATGTCCAACAATTTTTTGATTATTTTTCTAAAACTATTGTTTAGCCTTATCGGGGGGTTTCTTTTTTTAAATTATTCTTGTGAAGATTATTTAAATGAACTAATAATAAAGACTTTTGCTAATACGAATACTATATATAAATACTATTAAATACTTTGGTGTGTTGCTTTTTAAAGAGTGATCTATAGTCCGTTAATTATCCATTGTCAGCAACAGGTCGACCTCGACATCTACGACGACCTCGTTCAGAAGTTCGACCACGCTTGATGAAACACTATCAAAATAATTTAAATAATATTAATACATGTGGTTTCTCTAAAGTCATATATATGAACATTTGTTTTCTTACATTTTAAATCAATTATAGTAAATTATTTCAAAAAAATTCATATCCAAATTAATTTTCTTAAAATTTGTAACATTTGTATAAAATGTTTCCAAATTCATAATTTTTCAAACATTGATATTTCAAATTAGTAAAATAATCAATCGGACCTTCAGTAATAATTAGTAAATACTTTTTCAAAGTGATTGACCCTCGTTATCGGTTTTTAATTCTCACCTCCCCCTTTTCTCCTCATATCACGTATATATTTACATACATATTACGTAACGCCGATCGATAGCTCGTCCCATTTCAAGCAAATTAACTAAAAAAGAACGTTAACTCTTAAACAAAAAAGTAACATTTGTTTACGTAAGATCCCTAACTCATAAGAACATGCATACACATGTACTTTATATACCACTTACATTCCCCATTTTTGTTCCTATATCATAAACATTTCTCACCGTATTTAAACTGTGGGAATTTTTCACCATACGTGTATACCTAATTCGAAATTGGCGCATTTTATAAAAATCACGACGCGACGGATTGAAAAAATTTGAGATTTATAGCGAGTAATTTTTTAAAAATATCCTCAGCATCAGCCTGTTTCTTTATTTTTATCTAAACAATAGAAACATAAGACGAAGAAGAAGAAGAAGAAGAAAAAAAAGAAATGCAAAAGAAATCTAGAAATAGAAAAGATAGTAAAAGGGATCATTTGGATAATTGAATGACAATGATAGAAGTTGAGAACTCGTTCTTTCTTCCGCGAATATCTTTGCTTTCAACGCGAGGAACACGTGCTTCGAATGTTTTCTGCTATATGGCATTGTCGAGAAGTTGACATGTGGGCCACACGAAGCGACGACGACACAACACAACAACAAACAACACAACGATGAAGAAGACGATGACGATGATGACGACGACGACGACGACAACGTGGTAAAGAAACAAACATACGAGGACACTAAACGTGTAAGTGAAAAAGAGATAAATGCGTAAAGTCAGAGAGAGAGAGAGCGAGAAAGAAAGAAAGAGATATTAGAAAGAGCTTGGACTTTACCGTGAGCCAATCCAAGCTGTGACCTTGAGGAGCTCTAGAAAGAGAGATATATTTAGTCGTGAGCGGATCGAGTTGGCTGCCGCCATAGCTTGTGTGCCTACTCCTCTTTTGCATTAGTATAATATATATGTGTATGTAGTAGTAGTAGTAGTAGTAGTAGTAGCAGCGTGTAACTGACATGAGCTGTGGTTTAACTGTGGCTTGTGTGCTTGATTCTATTGCATTAGTATGTGTACCTACTTGTATGGATTTGTGTGTGCGTAAATAGTGTGTAACTAAACTGTACTATAGTTGTAGCTGTAGATGCTGTTGCTGTAGTTACTGGGTTGGTACTTTCTATATCTATGTAATACTTTTTCTTTCTTTCTTTCTCTCTCTCTTTTTCTTCTATTCTCTTCTCTTTCTAACTTCTCACAAGAGTCCCTATTTCTCTCTTTTCCTTTAGAACGTGGAACCTCCGTACTAAACGTGGATAATAACTTTGGAACAACCGCTAGATGTGTTTTTCAGGAGCCACGCTTCCGTGAATGTAGGATATCTGTGTTTATGTATGTTTGTGTGCGTCTACGTGACACGTGAAATTGAAATATATAGCTAGGTGTACGTAAATATATATATATATATATATATATATATTTATGTATGGTTGGTGTGAGAAAAAGTTTCATTTTTGAATATTTGATGTTAGTAATTAGAGAAATATCACAGTTTGTATAGAAATATTTTGTAGAGATACCGAGTTTTGAAAATGTTTCGCAATTTTTGGTACATATAGATATATGTGTGTATGTTTGTTATCAAAGTTCTTTTTTCTTAAAACTTGTAGTTAATTTAAATAGAGATTCTCGAATTTTACGTTAATAAACATACCGGTTCCATTATTTTGTAGATAAATCTGTCGGCTATGTTTGTTTCACAAGATTTCAATAACCAACCCGCAAAATTCCAACAACGAGAGAGACTCGACGAGGACATTCTAAAGTAGACAACTAGTTCCCCACTGTTCAGTGTTCACTGTCTTCTTTTCTTAATCTTTCTTCGAACGAAGTGCAAATGACATTCCGAAATTCTGCACGGTCAAGTTTAATATATTGCTTGACCGGTCACATGCATACTCCTATGTTTCCACGTGCATCCAATTTACATCTGTAATTATTCAACTTTATATTTATTTAAGTCATTATCATACAAAAGAATAGGTCAAACATTTTTTTATAATTAATTACATTGATTTAACAATTATTCTTTTGATTCCTCTTCTCGAATATCCAATCTCTCGCGTAAATGGAATTGAAATTTGACGAGTCAAGCTTGCAGTTGTATATTTTGGGAAACAAATTATCCCCGAAATGATTGACAAAGAGTAATTGATTTTTAAAATGAGTTACGAATTTTGGGTAGATCTCTAAAAATTGTTAACTAACTTCGTAATATTTGATTAATTTAGGTACTAACAATTTTCATGTGAATTTGTATAATATTTTCATAAAATAATTATAATTGAATTATTAACCTGACCGATTAAAGAAACGCGTTACCTTTTCTATGTATTTGGCTTTTAGAAAAGGTCAACGATATGTTAAACGAACAACCCAGTGACAAGAGAAACCTAACAGCAGTTCTCCTTGGTTGCTTTTGAAATACAACGACGATGAGGACGATGACGACAATGACAACGAGTCATGGGATACTCAAACTTACTCGGCCCAATTTCCGTGAAGCTCTCAAGCGTTACGAGGCCACTGGGCATTCCTAAATTACAGTTGGTACTTCCGCCACCTAGTATCTACGCTGTTAATCTACAGTATGTTCCATGAACTCGACGTAAGTGTGTTTCATTTTACTATCTATCGAGAAAAAATACAGGAAACCTAGAGATGAGAATATTGTCGAGCTTAGATATACGTAAATGGAATTGGATTACAATTTTTTTTAATCTTAATATTAAAACATAGTATATTTTTGATGGAAAAGTATATTTTTTAATTGAACATAATCCAAACCAAGATTAGAAAATTCTACTGCATGGATATGGCAATCAATAAAATCTGGCACTTAAAATTATTTGCTATTTAAAAGTTACATGATCACCCGTAATCTTACTAGGTTCTTGTTTCACTGTAACATCAATTATTGTTGTCATTTTCTAGCATACCATATCGTTTAGTTCCAAAATTATATAGTACACTCTTATTCGAGGTAAGAGAAAAGTAATATATTAGAATTATTATTTATTAAAAAATTCTTACAAGTATCTCTCGAGTCAAATAATAATTAATTATACTAATATTCTCTAAATATTAATCAACCTTAAAAAAAGAAAACAAATGATTTATAAACTCATTGAAAATTTTTCATATATAATTCAGTTCTGTTTTTTTCTTTTTAATTAAAAATAATTAATTATTAACTCTTTTCGCAGGATATATAATATTATTTTTGTTTCTTAAATTTTGTGAAATATGATTGACCTTTTCCTCTTTGTTTTTATTTAAACACTTCCAATATGGAGTTTCATAGTATCCTTTAAAATTGATCTGCAAAATATCGGATAATCCGCATCGCGATTTTCCGAACCATTGATACACGGCTCGACGTAGAAAGGAGAACGGAGGAACGAGTGGGTGTGAGTTTCCGTTTAACCCTTTACACACGCGTTACACATGATATGGCACGCGGTGAAGTGAGTCCCACGGAAGAGAAACGATGACGACGATGACGACGATGACGACGACGACGACGACGACGACGACAACCGACAGGGCGGGTCTTTTTAAATCTCATCCATGTAACACTACGAGATATTTTAATTAAAATCTATCCCTTTCTCTCTCTCTCTCTCTCTCTCTCTCTCTCTCTCTCTCTCTCTCTCTCTTTAACACGTAAATTCAAACCATTTTTCAAAGTAAATTTAATTCGTTAACATGAAACAGGCTATTTGAAAAAGGAACGAAAAAATTCTCGAAAGAAAAAGAACAAGAATTTAATTATTTAAAAACACGTGTATGTGTGTGTGTGTGTGTGTGAATAAAAATATTTAAAAATAATACGCGTACGGAGTAAAAGGTCTCGAACCTTTTGAAGAAATAATTTTGTTGTTTTCTCTCGATCATAAATTAACGTTTATTTTTCTATATTGTCTCAAAATTTGTCGAATGGATTAGGTTTTTAAACTATTCAATCAATCCTCGTAATTATTTATTTGCTTGAATGATCATATAAATTAGAGATGAATTAATTGAAATGAAATAGCACGTGTATGTTAAAGAAAATAAATTTACGAATATAAAGTATTTTCAATAATATAACAAAATATTTATTTAAATAATAATAATAATAGCTTTTACATTTGTATGAAAATAATTTAGTTATAGATAAATGAATTGATAAGCTATGCTTTTAATAAAAATAAAATTATAGATGAACGATGTGAAATGAAATAATAAATTATAAAAAAAAACTTGATAAATTGTAATACAAAAAAGAAAGAGAAAATGAAGGTATGATTGGATGCCCGTTTCAAAGAACATTTTTATTCGTGATAGGAGGTACGGCCCTGATGTGGCGAAGGGGACCTCCGAGAGATCGATATCTTGACTTTCCATTGCGCGAGCGTTGGGAACTCGTAAAAGTTGAAAATTCAGGTAGTCGTATAGGATTATACAGGGTAAACCTAAAGTTTCTGCCAATAATTCTTGCCATTTTCAAAATCAATTGATTTTTTTTTCCCTGACTTTCTAAATTGAAAACTTTTTGTCGACAGTTTAAAAGAACGATCATAGCTTGTAAAATTATAGACCAGAGTATAAGCTTAAGTCAGGGGCCTAAAAGAAAAATTTGAAACAACAACGAATTAATTAAAATTTTTTAAATTATCTAAGAAATTTTGGCCCCACCTTGTACCTGGAATATTATTTCTCTCTCTCTCTCTCTCTCTCTCTTCTTTTCTCTCTGTTTTTCTTCTATCTCTTTTCGTGTCTTTCTCTTTCTTATTCATTTAAAGCTGAAGATTCTAAGATACCCACGTATATTACGTATTTATTAGTCACGTAAGTCCGCTGTGCGTCACGTTTACTTCTCTTCATTCCAGCCTTGGCAATCTCTCTTAAGTTCTTTTGGCTCGTATTAGTTTCTTCTTTAAGCTACGAATTCAAAAAATTTGATTTCGAAAAGAACTTCAAGGTGAGTCAGCGGCCATTTTTAAGAAGAACGAACATTATTCCAAGGAATTCATTTGAAATATTTTTCATGGAAATTTTTAAATTACCACGTTAGATTATACTTATTAATCAAATTTATTTCTTAACAATACGCGACATAATATTAAAAAATATATTATTACGATTAGAAAATAAATATTCGTTGTTTAAGAAAAAAAAAAATAACAGGAAAATGTGAAAAGTATTTTATACTAAATACGATAAAAAAATGTATTAACTTGAAATCTGAGAACAAACGTTCGTATTGAATAGAAGTAAAATTTGTTTGTCATAGAAAATAAACAATAAAAATAGTTGATTTTAAACGAATATAGAGAATTTGTTTGAATGTTTTTATTTTCTTTCTATCGAAGATTCTATCAAAATTTCTCGCGTAGGATTGAAGAAGGATTCACGAAAATTTATTTCGATTGATTTGGGGAGAACGTGAAAGAAGTTCAAAGGTGTCCCTAGTGTTTTCGAAAAATCTGTCCGATAGAAAGCAACACAGGAGAGCGTGGACGGGCCGATGCAACAGGCGGCCGAAGGTTCCGTTCTTTTACGAGCGAAAGAGAAAGCAAGAGAAACGTATATTCCGAGAGTGAGAGTGAAAAACTCTGCGGGGTAGGACGAACGAACGGATACTCGAATGAATATAGAGAGAAAAAGAGATGGAATACGAAAACGAGAGAGAAATATATATATATATATATATATATAGAGAGAGAGAGAGAGAGAAATAGAGATGATATACGAAAACGAGAGAAAGAGAAAGAGAAAGAGAGAAAATGGGAAAAGGGAGAGATGGTCCGGTCCAGTAATTTTACAAAGGCGGGAAATTCAAATTCATTTTCATTATCCCAAATTAATTCACAACATCTACTTTATTTTTCATTTTATGAAAATTAAAACATTTATCATAAAATTAAATAGAAATTGTATACGTTTGATTATCAAGGTATTAGAAAATATTGTCGATAAGTTACTAATATCTATCATGACGTCTCTCTAATATTGGCAATTGAAATTTATTACTTCGATCATATTGAAATAATCAAATTTATCATACGTTTCATTTACATTTGAAAATCATTTCAAAAAGATACTATATGACTTCTAACATATACACATACATTTAAATAATATCTTTCATCTTTAATAATTAATCCTGTTCTCTCGATCATTGGGACAAATTTATTAAATTATTTCATTTATTTAAAACAACAATATCTCGAAGCTTATAATATACTCTCATCTCGAATGAACAATATCGTCAGAATCGAAACTCAAATAGAACGTTGAACATAATGAAAAGGAAAAAATGAAAAATATAAACGTTAAAGAGGGTTAATAGTCTGCATAAGAAAGGTAAACAAATCGGTCGGTCTATGAATGACAGAGTTGAGTAGAAAGAGAAAGAGAGATAAAAAGAGATAGATAAAAAGAGAAAGACAGAGAGAGAGAGAGAGAGAGAGAGAGAAAGAAAGACAGAGAGAGTGAGAGAGAGATTGAGAAGGAGAAGGAGACTACTCGCGGCCGATGCCGTATTTACTTACCGTATGATTGTCATTCATGCATTGTGAATCACGGACTTTATTTTTAGAAGTCGTCTGAATGAAAGTGGAGTAGCCTCGTAGTAGAAGTAGTAGTAGTAGTAGTAGTATTATAATGTTGGTTTGGTGGGAGGAAGAAGAGAAAAGGTGGAAGAGGTGGAGGAGGAGGAGGAGAGTACCAGCAGTAGTACCAGCTGCAGTAGTAATAGTAGTAGTAGAAGTAATAGTAGTAGTAGTGTAGTTGTAGTAGTAGTGGTGGTGTAGTAGGGGAAGTTAAAGAGAAATAGAAAGAGAAAGCTTGAAAGAGAGAGAAAGAGAAAGAGAGAGGGAGAGAGAGAGAGAGAGAGAGAGAAAGAAATGAGAAAGAGTAAGCAAGGAGTGTAAGTAGTGGGGGAAACGAGAAGGGAAAGGGTGGTGTTGTTGAACGTGGATAGATAGACGGATAGTTGTAACGGAGACAGCATCTACTAAAAAGAGGGAAGGATAAAAAGTTCGGGAGGGGGATGAACGAGAGAAAGAAAAAAGAAGACGTTACCATCGATCTCGGTAAAATCGCGAATATATACGTACATACACACACACACACATAGACATGTCCGTGCAGAGACCAGAAAGAGAGAAAGAAAAAGATGGAGGATACTTGCTCGCACGTGCGACTCATCCCTCGTCCTGTTCCCCCCTTTTACCACGATTTTCCCACTCTCTCTCTCTCTCTCTCTCTCTCTATCTCTATCTCTATCTCTATCTTTATCTCTCTCCCTAACTCTCACCCTGTTCCCTTGCATCAGCATCATCCCCACCCACCCTCCCTTTTGGAAAGATAAAGAGAGATAGATCGAGAGAAAGAGAAAGAGAAGGATAGAGAGAGAAAGAGAGAGAGAGAGAGAGAGAGGACACGTAGGACATGGTCTCTCACGCACGTGCGCACTCTGACGTTTACCTATATCCCTACGAGAAACTCGCGACATGGAAGTCAAAAGATGGAAAGAGAAAGATAGATAGGTGCATGCATAGAGAATGTGTGAGAGAGAGAGAGAGAGAGTAAGAGGGAGAGAAAGAGGACGCCGACAGATTTAGAGTGGGAGAAACGCGAAAGGAAAGGGAGAGAGAGAGAGAGAGAGAGAGAGAGGGTGTATACCACCAGTCACTCTGACTGAATAGTGTGTAAAGAATGAATGAGTGAGTGAGATAGACGAAGATAGAGGGAGAGAGAGTGATAGAATGAGGAAGAGGAAGAAAGAGGGAAACGCGAATGCAGAGGCGCGCTCGAACGACGATCCAATAAATACAAGGAT